AAATATCTCAATGAAGTGATGAACCCTATAAATTAGAAACCCAGTTGATTTTACCTTGGTTTTGACACCAATAAATAAATTGGTTTTAAGTTAAGACTCTCAGAGCCTCCGTGATGACATCCTGGGGAATAGTCGCAAAAGGCTCCTTCTCCCCGTCAATCATTGCAAAATAAACTCACTCAGAATTCGGAAAACCAGATCTGTATATCTCTTTCAACCATGGCGAAATTCAAGGGAGGGCCAAATCTTCTTCTCCTTTTACAATCATTCTCATCGCTTCCTTCACGATTAATTCACTCTCCCCCAAAATCACTTTCTTATATCAAATTCCATGGTAGCAGAAAATCTAAATAAAAGGAGGATTAGGATTTATCAGAAACCTGTTTCTTGCCTCTTAAGTCAATAATCACCGCCTTCCACATGGTTGGTGAAATCATGATTCATGACTAGCGGGTCCAAATTAAAGAAGGAAACAAAAATCAAATAGTTGGAAACTTAGATCATGCAGCTGGCGGTTTAGTACAAACGTTCCTGTGTAGGTTATCAATGGGAATTTCTCTGCTGAACCAGTCAAGATCAAAAATAGAGTCGATGATTGATATATACCAAGATCTAAAATAACCAGAAGAATGGCTGTGTTGTTGCTAGATTTTCTTTAACCGTTGCAGTGGTTCCAACTGCTAAGTGCCCATTTGGGAGGTTTTTCCTGTGGCAGCTTTGGGCTTTGCAAAGTGGGCCCCATTAGGACAGCATATAAACAATGTTTGGATGAAAAAACATGGACCTTCAATAAAAAAAGGGCTTTGCACCTCAAAAAAATAAAAAAGGGCTTTCGGTTGCAACATTTCCAGAGCAGCTCAACCAAAGTCTCATCCCTCCCAAACTGGTCCTAAGTTGATTTCAGGTCGTCTGAAGTGCTCTCCATAAATTATTTAAAGAGGCTGAAGTGGACAGCCGTAAAAACAGCCAATTTGGGTTTTCCAAAATTTTCACCAAATAATATATATAGCTTATAGGTTGTCCTTATGGGCCCACCTTAGAAAGCCGAACAATCTTATTCTTTAGCCCTCCCAAGTCGCAAATAGGTACTTAAACAAATGTATCATCTTTACTACATAATGTCAATACTTACCTTGGCTTCATGTCCAGGTCATAAGAGATATATCAAAATATTTGCAAGTAGTGGTTATCCAAATATTTTAATATGTAAATCCAATCAATGTGTTAACGCATTTAAGGAAATGCATTAAAAAATATTTTGAAATAAAAATTGTTGTTTCATCCTCAAAATCTAAATGCCTTGCATTTGTAGTGTGCGTTTAAATTTAATCCAAAATTCCAACTATAAAGACCTTATAGTCTTTTTTCTAAGATGATTCTTTATATAAAGGTAATGAGAAACACAATGTAGATATTCATCTCTTTCTTAGTGAATTTGAGCATGGCCCATCCTGAAATAGTACATCATTAATGTAGTATGTGTTTGGTATAGCTTTTATTTATTAAATAAATGTATGTACTTAATTTGTCTTTAAAACTGAGAAAAGTACTTGATAAGCCATTTATTGACAAATAGGGGTTATYAGACACCATTAGGCGCCACATCAGCAGAACCATGAATAAACACTTAACCGTTGGGGGAAGCGTTAAAATGAAACTTTTGGTACGCAAATAAATCAAAACCCACTTTTGTGAATATCAATGTGTATGAATGAAGATGATGAGAAACATGCTGATTTGGTGATGACATGGCGGCGTTTTAATAAACGTCTGTCACAAAACGTTTACGGAACAAAACACATGCATAGCATTTCTCATTCAAAAGATTTTATAATGACATTTAAAGTTTACCTATAAACCAGACACACAATGAGGTTGTTTGGTACTGCTAACATTTCAAATATAAACACCACCACACCAGTGCCATGTAGGCATTTTGAGTTTAGCAATCAATTTTCTATTTGTTTGGAGATTGTTTCTAGTTAAAACACTTCACATGAAAATCTATGCCATGGTATTTCAAGAAATGTCAATTTGATGTTTCCTACTCTTGGAAGCAAAGTATCAACACCCTAACTGATTCAGTGCCGATGTGGTACTGGAGTTCACATCTCCACCCCACAAGGAGCCGACATCATCTGGAGGTGTTCCCAATACACGGTGGGGATGTGCTGTGGGGAGTTGTGGGGCGGCTCCTTGTGGGGTAGAGATGTGATCTCGTGGTACTGACATTGATGAAAAACAACATTTATCACCAAACAGGACTCAAGTACAAACAGCAACTGTGTTTATATTTCAAAGACAAATGGCGTTTCAACTTAAAACATTGTAAGTTGAAACACTTGTGATACCAAACCCAACTCATGTAACCCATGAGAAGTGAAGCAACCCTTTCTTAAAGAGGTAAAAACATGTTATGCAGTTTAGAGAATCCACAAAATGCCAATAACAAAGGGTTGCAAGCTATTTAATTATTGACATAGCAAAGGATTATTTCATCTAAGGCTGCAACTTGGGCCATGTTGGCCCAAACCCAACCCGAAAAAGTTGAGTTAGATGGAGTTGGGTTAATGATGAAATTTATGAACCCGACTTTACTTCGGATTGGGTTAGGGTTAATTCCTCGAGCAACCCGAACCCAACTCTATAGACTATGGTACATATCATATATATGTTATATATGTATGATTTATCATACATTGATTTGTTTAGATGCATGATGGTTGCATTATGAGTATATGTTATACTCATAAAATATGTTATTAAGGTTTTAGTCTTTCCAATATACATATAAGTATATGTTATATATATGTATGCCATGTATTCTTTATCTCCTTTTTGTTATTTGCCACCCATAACTTAATACCCATAAAAKATCTATTATAAGTCATAACTCATAGTAAACTATAGTCATTTCAAACACTTATTTTTCTGAATTTTGTACTAAAAGAACTAACAAAAACATCAATAATTAAATACTAATAAAACATAGGATTAATATATATATAGTGAAAATTGAGTTAAGGTCTGAGATTAAGAAGTTCTATAAGATTTTAAAGGGTAGGAAGAAGGTTGGATTGGATTAAGGTTGAAGGAATTTAGTTAGGGTTAGGGTTAGGATTGGATAGATTGGGTTGAAGGTTGGGTTAGGATTGGCCTCAACCCAACCTAACCCGACCCGACTTGCAACCCTAATCTCATCAAAAGAATGAAAGAAAGACAAGCTGAAGAATTTAGGCAGAAGAAGCACAGTTTACCACAAACCCCCGGTAAAAGTAAGAACAGAAATCTCCCAATGCAACTTGCTTAAGGCAAGGTTCGGTATCATGGTGTTGTGTATTCATTGTTTTTATGCATTGGAAATAAAAAAAGAAACAACCAGGTTGGGTTCAATGTGAGATGCAATAATTGTTTTAATATTTTATTCTATATAAGCCCTATTAATTTAAGCACCACATATTCAGATGTTTCCTTTCAAAAGTGAATTTCACATAACCCAAGAAAAAAATATGCAAAACATTTATACATAATCAGCCAACCAAGTAAAATTTAAGCATAATTGTCTATATAGATACTAATATATCACCAAAACTAAATCACAACAAACATACAACACCACAATACCAAACAACCACCAAATTCTATAAGAATAAGACACCTTTTGCTAAATTATTCATTCTACTCTTAATGCCCATCAAGTGTTTTCTTTTTTATTCCTTCACAAAAGAATGCGAGTGTCAGTAGTGGGGCATTTCCCATCAGACCAAGGGATCCCTGGTATTTCTTGTGACCCGTTGGAAGCAAATAGTTATGAACTAACAGAATCATATTCTTTGTGAGTTGACCGTGGAAAATAACTTATAAGAAAAGAATCACACGTTTTACACTGAAGAAAGAAAAATGAATCACAAGCTTTAGCAGCAACAATAATACAACTATTCAGATAAACTAGCTTCATATCTTCAATTCTGTTGAATTTGTTGGTTCAAACGTAAAAGAAAGGACTCTGGATCTTCTGCCCATGGGAATTTTGCCCACGCCTACCCACAAAATACTAYCTTTCGTGAATTGAAACATCTCCCCTTATATAATACTATGCAGAAGATAAGATGTTCTCCATATGTAATTATGATTAATGTGGGCAGAATTCTCATGGATAGGAGATCCCCACTCGAAAAAAGCGGGTGGGAAGCAATGTTTTTGCCCTAAAAATTGCAAAATTACAGCTGAGTATTGTAGCGTGAAATTGTTTTTTTACCCCCTACCCCCTATGGCCTATGGGGGAATTAAATGTGACTTGGGTTTTAAGAAAAACACAGAAAGGAACAAAAACTCCAGTGAAGTGGTTAAATCAACACAAAGAGGTAAAAGAGCGCAAAAAAACAACAAAACAAAAGTTAAAAAGCTATGTGGCTTAAGAAAATGTACAAAACCACAATCAAGAATCAAATGAGGAGGCAGAAAAGAGAATAAAAAGGACAAAACCCAAACAGAAAGTATGAACCCTGGACCATTTCTCGTGTGGTTTCACAGAACTGGTGGGTCAATTAGTCAACTAAAAGTCAACTGGGTAAGAATTAAAAAATGACAAAACAAAACGGAGGAAAAATCCAAGGGTAGTTTGGACTATAAAAGGAATTCGGGGCTAGGAATAGTATTTAAGTTGGTAAGCAGGGGCTTTTTCATTAATTAAGGAAAGAAATCAAAGGCAGGTTGAGGCCCCTCCCTGCGAGTTCTGATCTGCTCTATACTAATCGCGCCTCACACCATCCTTACAGTGCATCGTAGTCGTGAGTTGGGAATCTCTTCCCATAAATGATGACATTATGTACGGAAAATGTTATCAACGCACGGCTGCAATGATCTGTGAGGTTGGTGTGAAGCGCGCTTTGTAAGGAGCAGATCCGACCTCCCCTTCTGCCTTCAGCCCTTCTCCTTGCAGTTGGAGTTGGAACAGCGAGGGTACAGTATAAAATAGCCAAAGAATTAAAAGGGGAGAGAGAGAGAGAAAGAGGTGATAGATAGTACAGACAGCAAAGTCAACAGGAAGGAAGTCTGCCTCGTAGCAGCCTTTTCTTTTGCACTGGCAAAGACCACAAACAAAACGGTTTCAAAGTCGGAAAAACAAACGCCAGCATCGGCGATTCCCCTCTCACTTAGATTTGTTTATTATTTCTTTTGTATTCGTATTCTCAGAGTAAAAGTTTTTACATGTTCTTCTCGCTTTCTCCCTTTTCTTTTTTATTTTATTTTCAATTATTGTTCATATTACTAGTGCGAACCGAGAACAAGGAGAAATTCAACAGCATCGACATCCCAGGTCCCCTCTGACCTTACTTTCGCCTTCGATTCTCGAACAAGGAGATTGGTGGTGGATCGGTAAGAGGAATTCTGAGATACCCAACTCACTTTTGCCCTTTATTTATTTGTTTGTTTGCTTGTTTTTTTTTTTTTTTTAGTTTTGGTGGTAAGTATGGAGTTTAGACTTGTTTTTAATTGTGGGTTGTTGTTTCACGATCGTGTTTCTGGTTCTGATGATGCAGTTTGTGAAATTCCGGGAGAAATCGTGGATCTCTTAAGTGGGTTAAATCTGGAGTTTCGATTTTAGGTTATCAGAACAGGTAGATGTTGAAAATTTAGTGGAAGAAGTAGAGACGGTGCAGATTTATATGGATAGGTTATGCTGCTTTAATTCTCCCTATTCTGAGGTTAGTAGAATTCCCCTTTTTTTATCGTCTTTTGTGGATTTTTTTTCGATGCTTTTGTAGTAAATTATCTAGCATGGTAGTTTGATTAGTCTCCGAAGAAGCACGAATCTGTTTAAATTTGAAGTGGCTTTATATTTTGCGGTTTTGTACTGATTGGAAAATCAGTAGCTTCAGATGGCTTCTCTGTTTACTTTTTACTTTTTTCAGTTTGTGTCTTCTGACATTCAGTTAGGGTTAAATTGAGTTATATGGTTATTTTCCACTGCTCTTAAGCGGAGATATTCGTTCAGAAATTGTCATGGGTTGTCTATTTTCTTTTGTTGCAAAATACTTCTCTGCTAGGTATAGTTTCTTTTGCACCCCTATCATTTTGGGTTTTAGTGCAATTATTTCATACTGTTCCTGCTGCTTCTTCAGTTAGTTTGGTTGGGATTTTTGYTCAATATTTGGCTCTCAGCCTTATTGGRTACTGTTAGGGGCCATTGCTTGGTGCAATGGTAAAATCTCTGGCTGGCCAGCGTGAGAACACAAGTTCAAGTCTGAGCAGTCACTTTGTGAAACAGAGAACTCCAAACGTCTGGTCTGTATCCAGAATACCCCTTCCAAGACCCTGGAAAATTGGGGTAATGGCCCTAACCTTGTTGGATACTGTTATTAAAATTTGTCTGGTTTTTGCAATTAGTAACTTAGCATAGTTCTTAGTTGAGTAACACTTCAAACTGAACCCAAGGCTGTTATTAGCGGGAACTTTTTATTACCTTTACTACGGTTTATTTTCGTTTTTTTTCTAGGGTTTGGAGGATTGGTTTCTACTTGGATTTGTTTGTCTCTTCGTCATATGAAGAGTTCTAGAAATTGTTCCTCTTATCTTTCCTTCTATTGTCTTTAAGTAATACTTTAGCTTCTCTATGTGCATTTTCTAGTTCTCATGAGTTTGATGTTAGTATTATCTCTTTAGTTTGTAGGAGTACGTTCCTCATGTAGCTCTGGTAAGGGGCGAAGCCACCAAGGTCCAACGAAGTATGGATTTAGCCTAGTGAAAGGTAAAGCGAATCATCCCATGGAGGATTATCACGTTGCTAAGTTTGTCCAGGTCAAAGGACGTGAGCTGGGATTATTTGCTATTTACGATGGCCATTTGGGAGATARTGTTCCTGCATATTTACAGAAGCATTTGTTTGCCAATATTTTAAAGGAGGTGTGTTGTTTATGTGATGAGATTGCATATTTGATGCTTGGGCTATTTATTTATGAGATTAACCTGAAAGGGTGCAATCTAATTTCATATGTTTCATCATTTTAGGAAGAATTTTGGACTGATCCCAATAGATCCATTTCAAAAGCCTATGAAAGGACTGACCAAGCAATTCTATCCCACAGTCCCGATTTGGGACGAGGTGGATCAACTGCTGTTACTGCAATACTTATAAATGGTCAAAAGTTATGGATAGCCAACGTTGGAGATTCACGGGCAGTTCTTTCAAGAGGGGGACAGGCAATACAGATGACTACTGATCATGAACCTAATACTGAGCGAGGCAGCATAGAGAACAGAGGGGGATTTGTCTCCAATATGCCAGGTTACAAAGACAACTTTGAATCCTTTGGTCTATTTCTTCTATTTGTATTTGTGCAATTTTATTTGTAAATAAGGTAAAAACAATAATCTGTATTTTATCTAGTTGTCAAGAAAGAAGTGGGATATGACTCTTTGTTCTCTTTGGATTTAATGCCACAACTGAATCTCTAAGGACACATTCTTGCAACCAAAGCTACAGTATGTTTGTGAAAATTCTTTCTCACTTTCACCAATACACATCATTTGGCCATCATTAAGCATGTTTACCCAGTTAATGAGCCATTTGGTATGCACAAAAGTCTGCTAATGAGAACTCCTAGGTCCCAACTTTATCAATATTTGAAAGTGTTCAAGAAAATTTCTCATGTAATCCATTATTACTCATTTTTCATGGTGTTTTATGACAGTTTTTTTAGTGTCATCATGCACAACCCCCCTATTGAATTAGTAATCTTTAACTTAAGTCTAACTTGGTGATATACAAGTGTTTGAGTCCCAAGGCCTCCTCTTGCAGGCCATAGAAAATCAGTCATTTTCCAAGAAATGTATTAAATTTAAAAAATTGAAACTCATGTGTATGTTTGTTTATATGTACCTGTATCAGACTAAATCAAAGTGAGGAGATTAAGACACCCCATGAATCCTCACGGAAGGGTGGTTCTTAGAATTTAGAAAACTAAAAATTTACTGCAAAACCCTTTTGCAATTAACTGTTGGTGAATTCAAGTTCTTAATGGATTCATTTCTTCTTCTTTTTTTCAATTATATTGTTTCCTTTTATTTTATTTATTTTCTTTTTTTATTATCATTGTTTAACTTATGGGTCCTTTGTTCAATTTTCTAATGCATGTGGAGTGGAATAAGAAAAACTTTCATATAGTTAAAAAATAAGTTGTCAATTTCCTGCTTAACCTAAAATTAGAATTCAGCTGTCTGACCAAATGATCAAAACTACCTTTAGTGCTAACCTATAGTGCACTTAACTACATTGCATACAGATCATTCCATTTGAAACCTTCATCGAAAATGATACATTTTGATGTCGATCATTCTTACTGTTCCTCTTAGCTATTCCTATATATAATATATTCCCAAATTTCTAGGTTCTTTTACTTTATTATATTTCCTTTTCCTTGTTTTGTTTTTTTTTTCTTTTCTTTCCTCTCAGCTAATAAAGGAAAATGCATAATCAATAGTTCAATATTTCTGCTAATAGGGCTAATTTTGTTTTGTTTCATTGTTTGATTCATCTTAATATAGTCATGGTATACCAGCAGGGAAAGGAGGAAACACTAGGGCTTAGTTGAATGTAGAATTGAGGAAGCTTGAGAATAACTAAAATCCAATAAAACAATTGAGGAAATTTGAGGAAATAATCTATTTCTATGATTCATGGGGGAGGTCTACCTCCTGTGTTGTGCAGCCCATTGTTAACAAAAAATCTCATAACTTGTTATAAATAAGTCTCTTCCTTGTTGATGAGTTCTTTATTTATTTTTTTAAATGAGAAGATCCCCCAATTAATTAAAGCTACCAAGTTAAGAAAGCCACTATACAGATGGATGGGACTCTGGCAGCTTACAAAGGGGTACACACAGCATTTATAGGAYGGTCCTTTTTTATCTGAAATCAACAAAAAGTACTATCATTATGAATTTTGGAAGATTTTACTTGCAGATTGAGATATGACAAACATCTCTTGAATTACTGTGTGATCGAGTTCAATATCAGACCAGTCAGAAGTGTGTTTTTATTATTTGATTGTGTTAGAGATTTATCCATGCTTGCTTTATCTCCTCTAATCAACCTGGTCTTATTTGTAGGCCTTCCTGAAATATAAGTGTCATAAGCATCATCAGACAGGCCATCTAAATAACTGAGTTTCTTTGCTTGATCTGTGAGGAAAAATGATATGTTCTAATCCACAAAATGTCATCCTTTATAAGGTAGATAGGTAAAAAATCTAATTTGGAGTTCTCTTCTGAATTTTAGGTTACACCTAAGGTTTTGAGATCTTGGATTGTAGAGTCAACAGACTAAAGAATAAAAACAATGGAAACAATTTTACGAGGAAACAATGAGAAAAAAAAGGTCCAAGATAAGGCAAGCTGCTTATGTTGCCTATATCAGAATCAAGCTCAAGTTTCTTAGATGAGTTTTCATCTGGACCAATGATATTCCAATAAATGGAAGAGTATTCTGAATGTAAGGTTTCAAAAGAGGTGATTAGACTGAGTTCAAATGAGTCTTCAGAGGTTTGGTTCAAGAATAACTTTGATAAATTCTGCTTTAGGGATTATTGGAGTTGGTTTTTGTATGATTCCTTGTTTCTTCTCTGGTTTGATGGACCCTAAGGGTATGTTTGGTTTGGAGGAAAAGGTAGGGAAAGGAAGGGAAAGTAGGGAAACCTATACAAGGTTTGTAAAGGTTTCCCTACTTTTTCCTTCAAAGCTAACACAGCCTACAGATTTCAAATGAGATATTCCGATGGGAATAAACTTCTAAATTATGAAGCAATTGTTTTATGTTGGAAATAACTGTTGAAAACAGCTAAGTGCACTGTTTAGGTTATAAAGCAATTGCTTTATGTTATTTCCATAGGTCAATTCTAATTGCTATCTCCTGTACCTGATGAGTAGGTATTATGTGAAATATAAAGGCTATGGGAGGAGGGAATGCAATTAATATTCAATAAATGGACAGAAGTGAAGGATAAAAAAAATTAATGGGAGCAATTTTAACATTAGAAAAGTCAATCCATTCAAATAATGGACCCCCATAAAAAACCACAGCCACCAACAACCTAACAGGAACAAACACTGAATCCTACTGGTGCTCAAAAACAAAGACTGGGCCCTGATTGTCATTGAGAAATCTACATCAGAGCAGAAAAAGGAAAGCCCCCTTCCCCCCACAGATTGTCAACAACAAAGACTAGGCACTAAAGTCTCAGAATCAGGTTGATGACTGATTCTAGAATCAGGCTGGATCATAAAATCAATTGTAAAAGCTGCATATAGAATCCAAACCAAAAGCCTCGGATTCTCACTGGAGTCCAATTCTGGATATAATCTAGATTCTTAGAATGCTACTGAAACAGCACCTTAGATGGTTTTTGGCATGAGCATAGAAATTTGCATATTGAAGTACTGATGTGGAGTTAGCTGAAAAACCAATAGGGAAAATGAAGTTCTTATTTTTTATTTATTTATTTTTTTTTTGTGGCTGCTGAATCAAGTTCTTAGTTTCTCTTAGTGTTTCAGGAGAGTTAAATGCAACAAGGGCCAAGAAGAACCTTCATAATTCTCTTTTCTTTCTTGGTTAAATCAAGTGTTTTTTTTCTTATTATTCTACACTTTTGGGTGACCAGAAATCTAACATCCCATGATTGTTATTCTTCTCATGTCTCTTCCTAATGGATTTATTTTCTTTTTATTGATTTTTTTTTTTTTTGCATGGATCAAATCAACTAAGCCATTTCCTTTCTTTTTAAATGGTTGGTTGACCAGAAATCTGTTATCAAATTACATGATGATTCATCATATGATCTGATTAATGAAAACAAGTGATGCAGAATTTTTATAATATAAAATATTATGATTAGTCATTTGAATAATTTAAGAAATTAAGGTTCGAAACTTGAAAAGTAAAAGGTTATGATTGTTAGTTGATTAGTTATTATTTTTGTTGAATGCTAAAAGTCTAGAACGTATTGYTTATAAACTTCTATTTTTGGGTCATTACGCCTCAACTATGCCTTTAGCCTTTTAAAATCTTGTTTTAATGGGGGGAAATGAATAATTGTGCACCATAATAGTTTATAGTTCATTTTTTCCTGGAAATCAGTTGTAAGTTGTCATTGAATCCTTCAGTGATTTAATTTGAAGTTCAATAGTTTATTAGCATTTAAGTACATGATATTTGTATATGGTTATATATATACATTGTAATTTATTTTTTTATCCTTACTTTTCCACCCAGACATGACCTCCCTTTATCTGGAGATAGTTTATAAGGATATGGCCATTGATAGATTGAAATGGTGAAATAGGATATCTATAAATAACTGAAAATGGTTAGGATAAAGTTTTATTAGTTGAATTTAGAATTTCAGATGATTTTATGGTAGATGTATAACTTATCAGCAGATGTTTCCTAAAAGTTGATTTTGTTGATAATAATTATTGTATTATGATCTTTCAATATAGGGCTGGTCATAAGGATTTGATGAAGGGACTTTAGGCCTACTACCTTGGTACGGGAATTGAGACACTAGTAGAGGACACAACAAAAAACACACTAGAGGAATTCAATCACCCCCAATACATTATATCCCTAAACAACCCTTGTTTCACAAGAGAGSCAGCCAAACTTTACCCAACCTTCTGAGTCCATTTGGATGAGAAATTCAATGTAGCTGTGACATGCTGAATCTCTCAAACCAAGTGCTCTAAACCCTAAGCTGATTATACTTTTAGGAATATATCTAGATCTCTTTGATGCTCTCCAGTAGGGCTAAACCTGTCATTCTATTGGAGTTCCTATTACCATTGGGACTGGAACAAACATAAAGAATCATCATGTTACCATCCTTCCACAACCCCTTTTTCCAAATACACCTTAAGGAAAAGAAGAATATTTAAGGAAAAATAAGAAACAAAGAGAAGTTGTGCTTGGGAATAAGTTTCAAATAGCTGAACTTGATGTTAGTTTCAAAGAGAAGTTGCTATGAGTTTTGTTCTTCTTCTTTTCTGGGTGATTGCTTATCACCGATCTGGATATAATCTCTCTTTTTTTATTTATTACCAATAAAATACACCAGGAGGAAGGTATCTTAGATTCAAAAAAAAAAACTCCATTTTAGTTAGTCTAAATTATGCCCATTGGAGGTGTTACTAATTCATTCTCTCTGTGGCACCAAGACGAAGTAAAGAGTTCTACAGCCTGTTTTGATTGTTTTCTCTTTGTCATTATTGTGAAATGCATTAATTTCAAGGAGTTCATGTTCAGTTTCAGCTTATCCACTCCAAATGGAAACACAATTACATTGATATTAACCTAATAAATTGTATGAATAAGTTATTGGTTTTTAAACCATATATAATAGGCTTGATGGCTCATAATTTTATAGCAACCGTGAACCTCACACATCTATGGCATTTTCAATCAGGGGATGTCCCAAGAGTAAATGGCCAGTTGGCAGTTTCTCGTGCTTTTGGAGACAAGAGTTTAAAATCACACTTGCGTTCGGATCCCGACATTCAAAATGCAGACATTGATTTTAATACTGAACTTCTCATCCTTGCAAGTGATGGTCTATGGAAGGTTTGGCATTTTATTGTAAACAATTTCTGGACTAGGATCTGCTACCAACAAGACACTACATCTGTACATAGGGAACATCTTCCCATATATGACGAAGTATGGTAAGGAGATAGATGTTCCTGATTTGTGGCTGCAGGTGTCTTGTGGGTAGTGGATACAAGCACCTTTTTTCCATTGTATTTATGTTTCCATGTGGAAAACCTCTATGCATTTATGCACCATCTGGTCATTTATGCAGGTAATGGGTAATCAAGAGGCAGTTGATATTGCAAGGAAGATCAAAGACCCTCATAAAGCAGCTAAGCAACTAACAACTGAAGCATTAAATAGAGATAGTAAAGACGATATATCCTGCGTTGTTGTTCGGTTCAAGGGATGAAGCATAAAGGAGATATTTAATACTCAGCAGCTGCTATACATATTTTAGTAGTCCCCCTTTTTGGGATGCCAATCTATGGGCAAAACCAATTAAGGGACTTCTGCCCCAGTAGGGTGGTACTGGTCGTCGTGAAACCCAGCACCAGCACGACTCACGAGTACGGAGTAAAAACACAGTTTACCTCCCTCCACCAGCCGCTGTAAATTTTTTTTTCTTCTTTTTTCTGTTCCTTTCCTAGGTTGTGGGCTTTGATATTGTTTGATTTCTTGAGCATATATGTTAGCAATGGGATGTACACAATTGGTTGTTATCTTTTTCATTTCTTTTCTCTATTTTAATTTCTATTTGCACGATGAAATCCATGGGGACGTGTAGTGGACAAACAGGGATTTATCATTTATTTGTGATAATGAATGAATGGAAAGTATGGTTTTGTTCTTGATGATGGAAGAAGGTGTACGTCTGTCTGTATGCTCCATATCGAGAAACTGGGCGGTGGGTGGATGGAGACGGACATCTCCTCCCAAGTAAGGCTTATCGGCTTAAGGCCAACCGCCAACTCTATCTTTTCTTCAATTGATGTCTGCATCGACTCGTCAGCTTTAAGCTTTTAAGGCCATAAGGGGAGGGCCCGTTCATAAAGTTGGCTGGCTGGCTACCCATTCTATACTCTTCTTTTTTTTCGCAATTTTGAGTTTTGACACTTGAACAACTTGTTCCCTCCCGCTCCACACTCCTCTCCAGCACCCGCTCGTGAGCGTTAAGGTTAAGGCATGACTGATGACCCTACTACACCAAATCTGATGTTTGACATCTAGCCTATAATAAGAATCTGCCTTCATTCTTAYTATCTAATTTCTATGTTAAAAATTCCTGTAGGAGAGGATAATTGGACCTTGGTAACAATCTTTCCTGTGTAAGGATTTTCTGTTGAAGAAGTTTCAGATTTATTAGTATAAGTGTATAACTCGTTAATGACACGCACCCAAGTCATCAAAACTTTTYATCACCACTTGAGCGGTGGAGGAAAAACAAAGTTTCTCATCTTTTCATTTCCCCTAAATGGATTGTATAGGTTCCAAGTTAGTAAGGTATCAATTTAAGGGGAGTCTGAGTTTATAATGGTTTGAAGGCAGAATTGGGATTTGCTCCTCACGGTCACATTCCATCGTGTGAGGAGAAGATTCGGAGTCTTGAAAGGGAATTTTAACAATTATGAGACAAATTGTTGCAAGTACAAACAATTCAGAAATACACCATATATGAGTTTGAATTGTCTTCAACCATAGTCCTAATACTTGGCCAATCACCATATATGATACACCACTTGGGCCCGTGTATCAGACTGAAAGACATAATTGGGATGACTAGTGGATTATATCATTATAATGCCCATAGATATACATATACAGATACTTGACAGCAAGGTTCTACATCACCCCCTGAATCGGTCAAAATCCTGATACACTCTCTGTAGGGGCATATCGGGGTGCTCCCAATACAATACGTATCGACCAATGCGGGCCGATATGTGTCAACTTTTTTAACCTTGCTTGATAGTGGAGACCTTAATAGGAGCCTTAATTCCTATATTCATCTATGTTAGTTTCTCTACATCTCATGTTGGGATGGCAAAGTATTTCCTCGTTCACTCGAAAATTGGTTTGCATATCTCTTGACATTTGTTTGCGTTATGGTTGACCTAGCCCCAAATGCCACGTGGTAGCCTTTGCGGCCATCTTATCTCCCCAGCCACGTTGGTACCACGCGGAATAGATAAGCGCGACTAGGAAGGAGAGTCCCATACGGACGAGGAAGGTAACTCCGTCGGGGGAGATGACTCATCCCAAAGACCTCAGCGGGCAACCTCATCCCGACAATCCAGGAAGCCTCATCCGAATATGACATGGATTTCCGACTATAAATAGGTAACCACCACTCAAGATAAGGGACTTTTGGATCTTTAGACTTCTACTTTGCCTCTTTTGCTTAGACCAACGATATTCTTGCCTACTCGGTCTGACCTCATACCCTTCGTTTCACTGACTTGAGCATCGGAGTGCCTACACGGGGAATACCTCCTCAGGTGGTCAGCCCTTTGATTTTCTTTTTTGATTTCAGATCTTGGTGTGTGGCTTCATTCTTCCACCTCGGTTTCACCATTTGGTAGGATTATCTGACTACGATCTTAGTTCGAGACACCTCGAATCCGACAACATCAGCATTTATGGATCTTTAGCTATAAAGGTCAGTGGGAATATTATTAGTAGCTTTCAAAATTCATTAAGGATGAAATATATAAGGGTGCTTACAATTTGGTTAATTTGATCATAAGTATTTTTCTAAAACTGAATTGGTCCTACCAGTTTTTACATTTCTTCAATCAAAATCAAACTGGTATCATTAGTTAACTGGTTGATCGACTTCTGTTTTTTTACTAGTTCGGTTCTTCGGTTTTTCAATTTTTTATATTTATAACATGTATTGTATAAATAAATAAATAGTATATTATATTATAAAATAATAAATGATATATAATATAT